TCATCCCCTTCCACACCTCTCTGGTGTTGTTGTGCTTCAGCTTCCTCTCTACTTTCCTTTTGTAGTTTTCCTTCACCTGCTTTAATCTCCTCTTCAGCTCATGTTGCACACACCTGAGCTTCTCTCTGTCTCCATCCCTGAAGGCCTCCTTTTTCTGGTTGAGGAGACTCTTGATATTACTGGTGATCCAGGATTTGTTGTTTGGAAAGAAGTGTACAGTCCTTGCTGGTATGACAGTGTCCATACAGAAGTTAATGTAGTCTGTGGTACATTCAACCATTCTGTCAAGGTCATCTGTGCACTCAAAACAATCTTTTAGAGATTCACTGGTCTCCAGGGTCCAGTTCCTGAATGAGTGGATGGTTGCAGCCTGCCTCAGCACACAGGGCTTGTAGGAAGGCTGAAGAAAAACCAGATTATGATCTGATCTGCCAAGTGGTGGTAGAGCTGAAGCAGTGTAGACCTCCTTGACATTTGCATACAACAGATCAAGTGTGTTATTTACTTTGTGGGACAGTCAACATACTGGGTGAAGCAAGTCAAGTGAGAGGTGAGAGTGACATGGTCAAAATCCCCCGATATTGCAATGAATGAATCAGGGTGCTGGGTCTGTGCTCTCGCAACAGTCTTGTAAATCACGTCAGATGCGACTGCAGACTCTGCTCGTGGTTCAATGTAAACATCAATGGCGAGGATGTGTGAGAACTCCCTCGGTACATAGTATGGTCTAAGACCAACTGCCAACAGTTCAATATCCCAACAGCAGATCTTCTTCTTCACTGTGATGTGACTGGGGTTGCACCATCTATTGTTCACAAGCAGAACCAGTCCTCCACCTTTATTCTTTCCACTTGCTCTGGCGTCTCTGTCCACTCACACTGCAGTGAAGCCGGGTAAATCCACAAACGGTCGTTTAACCAGGTCTCCATGAAACACATGAGACTACACTCATGATATGCTCGCTGGTTCTTCACAAGTGCCTCCAGTTCATCACACTTGTTACTCAGGGAGTTGACATTTCCCATGAGGGTCAATGGTAGAAAAGGCTTATATCTCCTTTTTCCTGTCCTTTTTCATAAGAGGTACATTATTACGACCTCCTTCACCATCACCATGTTTGTTGTTGTCAGAAATGTTTGACTCTGAGCTGCCCTCTAGTGGATGTATTGCTTAACATCCAAGCTAATGTAAATGACATATAGAAGTATCCACATTTGTACGTAAAGTGAATATAGATGAGTCTGATGATAAGTCTGATCAAAACTTGTTTTAACACCTCAGACAGAATTTGTGGACATAACACCATTACTCAGTGAAGGACAAATGTCCTCTGCATGTGCCTGGATTCATTAACACTCAACCAAAGAATAAGAGCAAAGGGCTACATGTTACAGCAAGAGACAACCATGTGGTAAAAGCTGCCCTGCTGTAGGCCTGATAACGTGAAGTTAGTTTTTGTATTTAACTTTATATGAACTATATACATGCATGTACATGCATGAAATTTATTCCAAATATGATAGTCCCCAGTACACAGTTATCATTTCAGGATCAGAGTACTCCAAAATGGTTTTTGACCATAGTATAAACAAGATAGCCATGTTATGGAGAAAAGCATAATATCTGAAGGCTCTACTAGCTTACATATAGTGTAACTGTGGACTTTCTGGAGTTATTTGCTTGTGGTTTATTTAGTGTGTCCACACATTTATGACACAGATGTTTGTCGTGCTAATTGAATGCACCAGAAACTGTTGGTAAAAACACCAGTTGAGAATATATTGTATATACACACACACACACACACACACACACCTTGGCTGGAACCCAGGTGGCTGCGGTTGCCGTGGTAACCCTGGACACGTGGGATCTAGGTGGATTCTCCTGGAGGCCATGTTCCGTTATCACAGTGACAGATTCTGACGGTGTCTCAGTGGTTCACAAAAAGAATGTTACTTGGAGCACGTGGCAAACACAGAATAAAGAACACGGACAAAATGATAAAGTGCAAAAATGGCTAAGAGCCAAGAGTTTGTGACTAAGAGCTAAGAGTTTACATAGCTACAGAGCTATGTTAATTGATCACAACTGTTTTATCCCCTGGGGGCTGGCGCACGTTTCAGGGGCGTCACCCGTCGTCTCCTGTGTTTCCACTTGGAGAAGAGAGTAATTTTCCACTGAACTTTTGAATAGTTTAATTCTAGAGTTTACCTATAAACTCACACATCCGTCTTCCACCATGACCATAAACTGGCACTAACCAATGGCACTAATGATGACAGACAGGAGTAATACAAGCATTGATTTCATATTACATCCTTCAAACCTGGAATTATTCACAATACAAGTGGTTAACTGATCAAATCATCCTGGATGTCATGTAGTGTGTGTTACCTTGTGTGAAGGATGCTGACAGTATGGTCACATGAAGGACATTGTCTTAAAATCTACATGTTACATTTCAAACATTCTATAGGATAGAAGTTTGGGATTGAACTATTACAAAGAAGCATCTCATGAGTTACAGAACAGTTAGATATTTAATTTTACATTCTTCCTCAGATCTGTGTCTGTGAAGAGAGTTCTGCTGGTCACTGCTCAGGATTGGAATGTGGGTTGTAGTTTATGATTCTTATCTAGAGAGGGACAGAGGAAGGGAGGTTGGTGTGTGTGTGTTCATGCATGGCACAGACAGGCCAGGATTCACACCTTAGTGATAATCAGTCCTTTTGGTGTTACTTGTCCTATATAAGAAACAATCAAATATCATTAGAGTCTTATTGTTACAAACTGGAGATTTTGCCTATATTCTCAAGTTGCCGGGTGTCCATTGGTTGATCCTCTGGAGCTGACCATTTGACCCTTGGTCTCGTTCTGTGTCTTTCTGGCATGCTAACAGTGTGGTCTGTTTGTGAGAGAAGGGTCCTTTGTCTCTGTTTCCTATCATTTTGATAGTTTGATGGTTGGAAGAGACACAAAGTGTCAATTGTGGGTCTGTAACTCTGCATATCCTTATAATGAACTCCTTTAATGGCTTGTGACTGATTGTGCCAGGCCAGGTATGTCCGCTACAATTGTATTTTTCCCATTTCTCCACATCACCAATAAATAATTGCAGAGTGAACTTGCGTATTGTGTTTTATTTTTTTAATGAAACGATAGTCTTGTTAGCCACTTTTATGGGATTTTGTTGAAGGTATGAAAAATTTGGAGCAGAAATTTCCTATTTTGCAACATATTCTCAAAACTGACACTTGTGCATCCAAACAAGTGAGAAAAACTGGCATTATCCTGTATATGTATACCAACCCAGCCCATAATGCATAAATGATTTGGACAAAGTGTCTGACCTGAGGCTGTAAATTATGGCTGCAGAGGGACCTCATCACCGGTATGATGATTAAAAGCACATATGCTGCTTCTTACCAACTGTTGTTTTCATTACTTTGTGTGGGGAAATTATAAAGAGACTGTGCTACTATCACCACAACAGTTTTCTGATGAATTGGTTTGAACGTGCTTCAGTGTGAAGACAAAACACACAAACATATTAATCACAACCGTGTCCCTGTGTGTGAACAGTACCTGCGAACACATGTGTGCTCAGTACACAGATGGATGAAAAGAAGGCGTTAAAAAAAAGCTGCATCTCAAATCTGAGTGCCATCGACGAATCACATTAAGAAAAAAAAAATTAGTCAAGAAATCAAAGTTGTCAAACTTGGCTGGATCAGCAAAGCATCGTCGACATGCAGCAGGTATTCTATATAATCGTACACTGAGGGGAGTACAACCAAGGCCTTCGCAGGACAGAGCTTTTACTGCTGCATGGTTCTAGGCTTTTTCACTGGTAGAAGAAATGTTCAGCAGTATTTGATCATGGTGACACAGTGGCTCAGCGCTCAGTACTGTCACCTGTATTGGGGTGCATGTGTATTACGCCACACCTGCAGGTCGGCTGAGTGAATCAGAAAGAGGCATAATACAGTGCGCTATATAGGTGCTTTTGTGCGTAGGAATAGGGTAGTTCAGTGGTTGAAACAATGAAGTGCCAAAGGAAAGTGCTGTTCTGACAGTAAGATAAACCGCTGAAAATATTCGACATGAAGCTACATTTAAACAGATATTGGAATTTTTTTGGTGGGTGTTTTTAAAAGTGTCTAAAACACATTTTTTCAGCACAGTAACACAACCCGGTTGGCTTTTCTAACTGGGAGCACACTGATTAGAAACTACTACAGGTAATGTCCTGACTATATATGACTATACCTCACACAACCCCACCTCAAAAAAGCTGAACTATCCCTTTAAAGCTGTTTAGTTGTAAAGATGTGTTGAAATTGTTTATTATAAAATGGTTGGGTCTGTGAAACGGTAACAAAAAAGAAGAAACAGGGAAACTGAAGCTACACTTTATAGGATTATTTCATTATTTTCATTTTTTCATTTTCAAAAGCTCTCTTATGTACTTATTACTTATTATTTTCCTTGAAATGAGAAAATAACATAAAATTATTGTTAGAGATTTCCCCCCTAATCCCCCTCCTCTGATCGTTGTTTGAGGACTTCTTCTAATTTGAACCCCTGTGATTAGAGGTTTCTTTTCTGTTTAGTACAGCAAACATAAGAACGATTTCTTTAAAGTGGCTTTCAGTTTGAAATTTTGGTTTTATGTAATGTCAGATATAATGATATAAACTAGAGCCAATACTTTTATTAACTCAGTGGTTACATGAGGTTGATCACTCTGCAGGAAATAACCCTCTTAGAGTTTTAGTGTCTGTTCCATGTTAAGAAAAAAACAGAACTTATTTCTAGTGTAAAATGAGCATTATAAATCTAGTAAAACTTATCATGCAGCTTTGGCTTATTTAATATTGCAGCAAACTAATAACCATATCAATCTTAAACCTTGACAAAACCATATGATGCACCTGTAAATCCCTGGATGATACAAAAGACTAATGCATTTGGTTTAATAAGATCAGGTTGTAACTCACCTTGAAGAAGGTCATGGTGGAGCCGTCTTCTACCACCCCATATTCTATCTTGGTCTGCTTGGCCAGGTCGTCAGCAGAGTCAATGGGCGACTCCATCCTCTCCACAGTGAGGAAGGCAGCCAGGTTTGCCGTGTAGGAGGAGATGATGATGAGTGTGAAAAACCACCAGATTCCTCCTACAATTCTGGTGGAGAGGGCTTTCGGCATGAGCTCAGATCCTGAACGAGAGGAGCAGAGGAGGTGGGGTGAGGTCTGGTACAGCACTAGGCTGGAGAGGGGGCAGCACCCAGGCTAGGCCTCTGCATCTGCAGCCTGGATCACACACTCAGACACAGACACAGACACACAGAGTGGACAGAGTGGACTGGCTCATAGTTGGACCTGGTGATTGTTGTCAATCGTTCCAGTGTACCCTGGACTGTCTGTCCTTACTGAGCTGCCTCTTTCACAGCTAAGATTTCCATTCTCTTTAAATTCAAAATGTAACACAAAAAACTGCCAGGAAATCGCACAGGAAAATTCATTTGTACGTTCTTGTGACACAGGTGCCTCTGTTAGCTTGGTGACATAGTGACTACTTGGCAGGGTAGTTGGTAAGCTATTGCCAACTAGCTAACCCCCATGCTAGCTAGTCAGAAACAACTTATCTTTGAGAAGGTTGCCAACCAAACTGCCTCGGTTGTAAACCAGATAAATATTTAACACAGTTTACTGACGAGACTAATAGCTCTGTCTTACACCTGGCAACGCAAGTGTCTGATGCAGTTGTCATTTTCCAGTCCAGCGCCCATGTTGTTTAAATAGCGAATACACGTGGGCCCATCTGAGCACCCATAGGTGTGTTGGTCTTAAAATGAGGTGTGGCCAGGAGCATTGGTGGTGGACTGTTATCTTGAGGCAGCGGAAAGTTGTGGAACTGACCAACAAAAACCTGGTCTGAAGTCAGTGGTGCAGTATTTCACTGTCAGTTTAAGGAGCATTATCAAGAGAGTAAAATGCTGCTACATAAGCAGGCGCTTTAGACCATGTACGTTGGACTGTTAAAAAATAGCCCCATGTCTACCATTTAAGACTCTGATCTTACAACTGTCTACAAAGCATCTTTTGTAGTGCACTGTATTGTCACTGTCACTGGCGGTCATTGTTGATTGTCATGCTTCAAAGGGACGGGCTTTGCTTAGTATGAGCTGGTCCAGGGGAAGACATCAGGAGAGTGCTTGAGTAGAGAGTGGCATACTGCAGATAAATGCAAAGAACAACTTTCAGACCGTGATGGGAAGATTAACTGTTATCCCTTAAGTGTTTTTTTTTTTAGATTCAGAACAGAATAATCAGCCCAATTACACAGTGACAGCAACACTGCAGGGAACAACTAGTCAAGCACAACAGCATTTCAGGTGAGGCCTGCATCCTTTTCTTGTTGATCTTCAACTACAGGCATTTAGGATATGTGATGGCCTGCCACAAGGCTTCATGGTAATGAATGCCTTCAACAAACACATTATTTTACCAGTACAACAATGACAGTAGACTCTGATATAACAAGGTTTTATACATTGAATTGAACACAGATTCTTTAGTTATCCAGTCCCTAAAAACCAGCCCTGACAAACTGGTTAGTAAATGCTCAACAGCATGAAGTCCACAAAACGTAAACTATGCTCTAAGACCTGCATTGATTTACTTTGTGCCTGTGAGTGACTCCATTGACTGCAGCACTTCTATTAACTGAATTGATTTTGTTCAGAAATGTTGCAGCCACAAACGCTGGTTTGACCAGCCAAATACTTTCTACATGGAGTTGTTTAGCTTAGCACAGCATTTGTTACTTTCATTATTTCAAATTCCACACAGTAGAGTGCACAAACTCTTCAGTTAATTTTATTGTTTTTCATTTAGGTTTCATGAAGAATTTATGCAGAGCATAAAGGAGCACATGTGCATGGGTAGAATGAGAGTGAGGTTTGTTGTCCAGTTGAAGGGAGGTGGGCCTGGCCTATAGCAGGACTACTCTACTCAAGCTGCTTAAGCAATTGAAAGCTGGGATTTTGCACACTGACTCAGACGGAAAGCTGACAAAGAGTCAACGAGATAGGAGGATAAGATCTCTGTGCTCCACTCCCTTTGTGTGACACACAGTCAGCACGCTCAGTTGTAATCAAACTTACTTTCTTTCTCGCAGTTCTCTGAGTGAGATGTCTAGCAGCAGGAGCACGATGCTAAACTGTTAGCCCACTATTACCACATAGAGTGAATGCTAAGAAGCTTTGCTTAACATGCAGTAATTTGTGATACTGTCAGACTGCATATCATTAGATCTCAGTGCTGCATCCCACATGGTCAAACACAACATATGACTAGACAAGTTATAAACCTGTGTGGGATTTGTAGTACATTCCTAAATTGTTGTGAATCCAGTTTGAAGGACTTTGTATCTGAGCAAATAAAAATGTTGTGGCCTCTTCTGTTTAATGCTCCCACTTGTTCAGAGTAGGACCACAATTGTGGCAACATGCAGCTCATGCAAAGTCAAAGCTAAACACGGAAAAGTAGCATTCAGCTTTTGTGCATCACATATTGTATCTGAAACAAACCAAAAGCCTAATAGTCTGTGTAGATTCACACTAAAACTGTGTATGCATGAAGGCAGGAATATGTAGACTCATTCTTTTCATCAGATTGTACACAAGCCCCATTTCCTGTTCCACAGTTAGACAGAAATGGATGTAGAAATGGCCTTAAACATATGTTTGCATATTGATGCTTATGCCTGCTCCACTACTCAGTCGACCTGTAGGTGAGAGGAGCGGTGAAGAAATGCACTTTTATGACTTGTGTTGCACTGAGGTTCTTCAACAGCACCAGTTGGGCAGCTGTCATAATACACAACTTTTACACATGGCTGTGGCTTTTTATAGTGCCCATACCATTCATTTATCACATGTATGTGTAAACCATCATCACTGTGATGATCAACAGAAATGTACAATCAGAAAAAAAGGCAAAACAAGGTTTTAAAGGAGCTATTTTTACGTTTTGCTATTGCTACATAGCCAACGTTTCCGCTAACAGCTGTTGACTTAAGACATTGATTGAAGGTTAAGTAAAGGTTAAATAGCACTTGTGCGATTTAAACATAGGGGCCCCCTTGATGGTAATGTCATAGACAACCCTCAAAAAGCTAAGGCTGGGTTAGGCTACTAGCAACAAAACAATGGTCTTATTGTCTACGTTATAAATACACAGTCTGTTTCACCTCTCATTAGCCACCAGCCAACAACACTGTCTGGCTCAGTGACGGCAGTAAAGTCAACCAGGACGGCCACTCGCCACCCACTTTGTCCATTCATCAAACCACAACCAAGAACAGAAATCAAGGAAACAGACATGAACACAAACACATGGTGTATTCATCAGTACTGTCAGCAGTGAATTCTGCTTGTCCTGTGTCGGTCCCATGGCAAGCTATCAAGTGCAGGTTTGTTTAAAAGTGAGACGTGTTACCATGTTAATCAGAGCTTCTGATCGTGATCCACCTCAGAAACCAGAACAGAAAAGAGGGACGACCCATTCAGAGAAGCGAGTGGAACCCAAACAGAGCCTGGTTGGGGCTGACCGTCATGTACCCAAGGTAACGTCATGACCAAACAGCACATCCCACAGTTTTCTGGGGGGCGCTGCAAGCCACCAGGCAGGGGAGCCTCTCTACAGTGTAGACCAGCACAGTGCCATGCAGACACTGTGTGTTCATCCAGTCTAATCCCACAGCCTTCTGGCCCTCAACCACATCTTCTCAACTGGTCAACCCTCCATCTGTTCTGCTGGATGTTCAAAGAACACTCCAACACACTGACTGCATCAATAGCTAAAGATATTCACATGAATCTTGACCATATCCTTGTTCATTAGAAACAGGTTTATACTCAGTGTTAATAGAATATTTTGGGTGGTTTTTGTCATGGGCGACATTACAGTTTAACAAGTTCTCAGATAATTTAAATAATATCTCTATTTTAGGTGTCAGATAAATAAAAATCCGTGGAAAAAAGTTAGTAACTTGGTAGTAACAGTAATTTAGGGATATTAGTAAGCATGCATTAAAAATAAGTCATAACATGCAGCCAGCCAACAAGAGATAAGTTATCAGCTACTAAATCCTAGGAAAGACTGAGAGGTCTGGACTCAAGGGTCACTTTACCCAAAATAATATTTTGTCCTTTATCTCTAGTGGTACCTAGTCATTCAGACATTCCAGTTTATATTTGTCCAGATCTGGAGACCAATGCCAATTTATGAGATTTCACCCCAAAAAAGAGGCGTGTTCTGCGGATTATCCACAGCACCTGGAAAACTGTTTCTGAAAAGAGATTTTGCTATTGATTTTTTTTAATGTAACCTACATGGCATTCATGTTTTTTGTCAAGTTTAGAAAGGAAATGGAAGCGTAAAAATAAAAACACTGTAATAATAAAAATAACTCAAAGTCCACTTACTAGATCTGGCACTTTCAACCACATTTCATGGAGTTGCTCACTTGCCATCATATGCCATCAGCAGGTGGAGTATACTGTATTCAGTCACTGAGAAATACCATGATATATGGTTGGCAGCTCTTGAAAAAAGCTCTGACCTGCATTTTTTGATAAGAATTGGACAGATTGAATTTGAACAACTTGAATACATTATCTTTATCTATTTATTTTGATATTTCACGTTTCATTTTTATATCAGAATTCATGAATTTTAAAAGATACTCTTAAAATCGAGGTTTTGAAATTGCACCATGTGAAATGACCTCCTGGGAATTTAATCAATAATAATAAATCAAAATACATGAATTCAAACAGATATTTTTCATAGTAAAATATGTCAGTGCTATAAATTCAGTGGTATCTAAATTTCAATGTTCCTTTGTGGTTGTGAGCACCACAAATCAGATTCCTTTCTCCTTGTTTTATTATTATATTGAAAACCTACATACAGTAACTATCTGCATGGGTAGAGACAACGCGAGGTAACAGAGATTTATTTTTTAAGTTTCAGGTGAACTGACCCTTTAAAGAAGCTTTGACTGTAGCAGTGCTGGCTCCAATCCATTGTTCAGATGCAAGACAGACATACAGTATAAACCATGCTTTCCAGGCCCTACAATCATCACTACCTGCTATATTGTCAGTGGCTCGGAATAAATGCTTATTTAAAAAATGCAACATATCTCCCATTGTGACAGGCAATGTAAATGATAGAAGCCATTCCAAGATTTTTTATTTGTTTTTTTTTGGTTTTCTTTGGTTGCTCTTTGTTTCTCCATCTGAAGATGCCAACTAGTTGAGAAGATATGGCATCGGTTAGGCAGAAGGAAGTAAAACCAAACAGGCAGGGTAAGCTGCTCATTCACCCATCTGATTCATCTCAGGTACTCTGTGTGGGTACACTTACCTGTTCAAACAGCTGTGAATTGGTGGGGAAAGGGAGGAAGGAGTTAGGGGGCAGGGATAAGGAGAACATGCGGGAGCACCATCCCCATTCACTGATCACATCACTCAAATCCCACCTGGTCCATTCTGCTGGACAATACCAGTGAAGCATCTAGCTACATGCACAGAGGCCCCCATGCATGGTCATGGTCAAAGAGCAAGTTGACCCCAGCAAAAAGTGGGACTTGTACTAGAAAAAGTGGCAGGCAGAGGCGTCTACCTTGCTGCATGAGAGCTCCAACTCCGAACCAGAAACTATTTAGCAGGGTGAAATTGTTTTCCACTACATCCGACTCGGGGTTGCAGGGGTGGGGGTTATACCACTCGTAGGGACTAAACCTGTGACGATTAACAGAGAACAAACACATACACACATATAATTTTACTGCAGCCGCATCAAGAAACAAGAGTGCACTATAAGAGAGACCGAGAGCGGTCATCCTACCTGGGGAGACAAGGAGAGAAAAAATAGTTTAATTAGTCATAGAGAATGAGAGCATAATAATCAATAAGCATTGTTTTCCCTTCATGTTCATAGCTCAGATTGTTATGCTGCTGACTGAATTAGTAAATTAAGAGTTTATTACATGAATTACTATAAGACGCTGATTTATACAGTCAAAATAAAGGCTCAAAAGACTACTTGTCTGAATATCTCTTGTGTGATTTTCGATTTTAATAATAATACAATACATTGGGGGGGGGGGGGGTCTAAAATTAACACCACTCATATTGCAAAAGTGGCTTCTCATGTGGGCGTGCTCATATCAAAGGCAATTCCCTCAGTAATTTAATCGATGGGGTCTGAAAATAACTCCATTGTCAGATGAGAAAAGAACTAATAATCCTTATAATCTCGGTGAAGCATTAATATTCAGCAGATCAAATGGTTCATTCCCATCATGCCCATGCTAGCCGTGGCACTCCTCCACACTCAGCACACTCCTTAAGCAGAGGGATTTTTCATTTACTCATGTTAAAAGTGACATTACATTAGTAAAGGTTGATTGGTCTACAATTAAGCATCCTGACCTGATTTGGGTGGTGCTGGAGTGTGTGTGTGTGTGTGTGTGTGTGTGTGTGTGTGTGTGTGTGTGAGTGTGTGGGGGGGTGGGGGGGGTGGGGGGTGGGGGGTGGTTTGGCTAATCAAATTGCACTGCATAATGTAGACTTGTAGCAGTGCTGGAATTCAAGAACGATAACCTCGAGTGGATGTGACATCTGCATGGAGGACAATCCCCATGAAGCTGCTACACCCATTCTGATCCATTCATGTGTACTACACAGTAGTATTGTGTTATATACTGCGATATACGAGTCTATATGAAGATGTATGGCTATATCGATAAACTGACACCATCATAACTGTACCTTGTCATTGACTAATGGGCTTTGCTTATAATGTGGTTAGCAGCGGCATTCCTTTTCACCCCTACAATACTCAGGAGGATATTGAGCAGTGTAGCTCAAGGACCTCTCAATGTCCCCTGGTTTCTGCTTTGAGAGAATCCTTGGCCTTAAATCAATCCATGTGCTCACTCATTCAATTTGGCCCACATTTGCTTGCTTGTCAATTTGTAATGCCAAATTGAGTTCAGCTGAACTGCAACCTTGCTGTGGCGTGTGTGACTATGTGACCCAATCCCCTGCACAGAGGTCTCTGAATATGTTTCCTCCAATCATGTGTGAATAGCCAATTACCATTCACCGTGAACATGGATGAGCGAAGTTGTCATCAGTGCTGTGCTGGGTTATGGGAGTGGCTGGCTAGCCTGCTACTGGTTGGGTCAGGGAATCCTAAACCAGTGGCGTTTACAGAAGACAACACAGCTTAACCTGTCTCTCACTGTAGCACTGCTTGGCCTTTCTGCTGTCATTCTTATCCAATTACATTGCCCTTACATTATCTCAGGTCATCTGCGCTCCAGAGAGAGAAACTTTGAGCAAGGTCAGTGCAGAGATAAGCTCGGACAAAAAAGCGAGGATTTCAGCAGCAGTGCAGAAACAATGTGAGGTGTTTATCTTCCCACAAGGGCAGTGTCATCCTGCAGAAAACTCCAGCGATTAGACACATGATAACACCAATGTCAGGGAAGATGAATCAACACAGCTGCTCTGTCACAGGATGATTGACTTTATATGTCCACACATGAACTGAAGATAGATTCTACAGCATCTAATAAAGGAACACATTCTTCTGATGATCATTTTCCGAAGAATGTTTTAGTTTTTACTTTTATTTATGTAACAGTTTTTCACACATCCTACACTATTATTGACTTTTAAAGCTCTTCACAGCCTCTCTCTAAGCTGTATATCTGACCTGTGAACAGCATATGAGCCAGCCTTTGGCCTGAGCTCCTCGGGCAGAGGTCCGTTAGTTGTTCCTGAGGCAAAGCTAAAAGCCAGAGGTGACAGAGGTTTCACAGTCAGAGCCTGAAACTGTGGAACGAGCCGCCTGAGGAGATCAGCTCAGCAGAATCACTGACCTCTTAAATCTCTTCTCAAAACAAACTTTTATTGTAGCGCTTCACTTCTTTTTACTTAATCATATTTACTACTTTTCCTACTATTGAAAACATTTTATTCTTTTTGGTTTTATGGATTTTTACTGATCGCCCTCTTGCTGGTGACACTGCCTTTGGTTTATTTGCATTAATAGTAAAACACTTTTACTGTATTTCTGATCGCTTGTTTTAACTGTTGCCTATGACATGCATGTATTACTTTGCTGTCTTGTGTGAAGCTCTTTGAATCATGGGTTTAGAAAATTGCTCTATAAATAAAGATTATTAGTGTGATTATGATTATTATTATTAGTAGTAGTAGTAGTATTGTCTTTGAACAGGTCACAGCAAAAAAATCATTCAGACAGTCTGAACAAAGATGCAGGAAAAGTGAAGTTTGTTAATCTAAATTAAACATAGAAAAGCAGCATTTACTGTAGTTCCTATGCAACAGAGAGCTGGGGAAATGTTCACAAGATATGAGACCAAATCTGATGACTTGTAAATCAAGTCAAATTAGTTTGTTGCACACTTACACATTTACTTTTCTGTGACTCTCTACTTAATTTCTTTTAAAATCATTTATGCCCTTTTAATTTATGTTTTATTTTGCGTTGTATTTCTTTGCTTCCTTTATGTGTGAAATGTTCTATAGAAAATAAACTTGTCTTGCTTTGCTGTGCATTGGTTTTTACTTGAGGAAACCACTGGTTTCCAGTAATTTCACTCAGAGGAGACTTGGAACTTGCAGGAATAAGATAAACCACAGGTGCAGAATGAAAGCTGCACTACTCCCTGATAAGCCATAGAGATTTAAAAACATACAACACAAAGGTGCGGCTTGGAAAATGCTCAACAATAATGATAAGTTCAGGCTTAATAATGTGTTGTACATTGGCTTATCGGTGGCTTTAACGTTTCACCAGTACATACAACAGTGGGGTGTGTCAGCTCTGGCACATTGTACATAGCACTATCTACACAGGTGTGACTGTATTTCCCATTGGACTGACACTATATTTTCATCAAATATCAATTATCCTCATCCTCCAACTCTAATATAATGACACATTTTGAAAAACCTAACATCAACTTATTTTTGGAATACATCAATTTTCACAGTTATTTCTTTTAAAGCCCAAATGTAATTGCAATTGTTAACCTTGTCTTTGCTTAAGTTGAGTTTATGAATCTGAGATTTTGAAAGAACTGTAAATGTTCTTATCCAGAACCTCCTACTGAGAACACTGCAACGGATTCAGAAGAGAACTGGGGCTGTGCTTTTAATATGAGCACATTGTCCAAAGACCGATGACAGGCAGATTACACTTTGATGTGAGGGAAGAAAGACTTTGCACACAGAGAAATAGTCTAATTCAGCAAGACAAGAGAGAATTAGATGTAAATATCATCAGTTATAATTATTTACGTTCTGATCGATTAGTCAAAGCTTTGCCTCCGCTTCTCACTTGTCACTTGAAAATTCACTTCATGTGGATGATGTAGGGAATTGGATTCTCCAAAGTGTAAGCAGGTGATAATGCACAGGCTTTATGTGTGATGTAATATAGAGGGTGTTTTTCAGCAGTTTCATCACCTGCGCCAGAAGCACCGGCAGTGCTGTTGTTGCCATTAGAGTGAACATAAAAACAATATCAGCCATTACATAACATTAACATCAGTAACTGGAGATATCAAGGCAGGTGGCAGTGCAACACAGTAATCATGTGGTTTCAACTCTGCACCCATGGGGAATAGACCTCCACACTGCTGCTCTAACTCTAGCACTGTGTGTGTCAGTCCTCGTGTCCAGTCTGTCAGTCTATCACTCATGCAGTCAGTCACACAAACACAAGCATACATAGATAAAATGTGTAATGTGTACATACACACATATGTATATATATATATACACACACACACACACACACACACACAATATATATATATATATATTACTATATATGATATATATACATATATATACATATAAATGCACAGTGGAATTAAACCTTGTAGTATTAGGTCTTGTCTGTCAAATTTACGAGCTACAGTTTGGTCTCACAAACTTTTGTGAAATGAGTGTTGATTTTTTCACATACAAACGACGTGAACAGGACGTGAGAGAAAACACTTCTCCACCATGAAAGGATTCAGTGGACGACGTTGGACAAACAAGGCTTTTCATCAATCTGAAAGAAATCTGGATATATAGATTATTAGTATCATTATTATTATTATTGTTATTAATATTATTACAATTATATTGTTTTATGCAAATGCCTGAAAACAATCTTTTTATATTTAAATATATAAAACGTAACTTTTCCACATATTTTGTTGATTTGTGAACTCACATTATCCCAATTTTCAAACCAAGACAAATCGTAATTTCAATCAAGGTACCGGTTCTTTTCATTGGGTCTGCCAGAAGCTCAAAATTGACTTTTTATCAAGTTTTAAGACACATTTTATGATACACTTATTAGATCTTGGTATACATACACATACCGGATTTACATAACATTATATTACATTTACTCATTTACAGATGCTTTTATCCAAAGCGACTTACAAGTGAGGAATGTCACTAAAGCTTCAGTCCAATAGGAGACCTTGGTGCAAGTTCAAATATTTAATCACCGGGTCCATTTGTTTCTGGAAGAGGACACCTCTGTGGATGATTGGAATCCAGTAAAAACCTGCTGAACGTCTGGTTCATAGACAAACAAGTCAAGCAAATGTTAGCTGCAGCTCGGCTCCCAGCTGCTCCAACACATCCTGTGTCCACGGAACAGCGTTGGATTTTAAATGCAAAACTACTTTATTCAGTGTTTCTACCGGATTAAATCACTGGGTCTATTTGCTTTGGACATTTCTGTAATTTGCAAGGGTTTAGAAAACACTTTTCCTGCCATAGGAGCTTCAGATTATTTTTATTGGCAGTGGAAAATTACATATTTTGTCATTTAGTTCTGGAGACTTGCTGGAGAAAATAAACAAAAAACAAAAACCACCAAGCAAAAAAAAAAAAAAAAATCTTACAGATAAATACCACGTTTCTTTCACTGCTTATGAACACTGTTGTAACTTCATATTTAAATGTTGGGGGAAAGTGTTATCTTATCATATATTTGCTGTCCTGATTGAACACTCAACCATAAACAACGATCCATCCTAAGACAACAAACATTTTCTTTCATTTTTTTTCTTTTTTTTTTTTTTGTATGATCAGAACCATAAGTTTTCACTTTGACCTGGTCCTATGGTGACTTTGCTCATTTAGCCCTTGTTCTATTTAGCCATGACTAAGATTTGCTATTATTATATCCAGTTTACATAGGGACCATTTCTTGGGTAGAAGGTGGTTTAAATGAAAACTGTTAAAGTTGCTCTCTGTGCCTTTCGATTTGTGCCTTTTGAATTTCTGTGGTGAGCATGATAAACTAAATTCCCCATCTAATTTATCGTACAAAAAAACATCAAACCAAATATCTCCATGGCTCCATACCACAGGGAGAGTGAGAAGATACTTGACATGTAAAAATGTTATTGTTACATAATCCTTTAACAGGGGGGAGACGTAATCTCCACAGGTTCTGTTCAGAATACATAATCTGCCTTTAGACTTCTCATTTCAGGAAAGTTTGTGAGACTGTTATGTGCTACACAGGGAAAAACATGCACCTGTAGCCCAGCATGCATCTGTGTGTACAGGAGAAAAGACAGAATAGAGTGAAGGGGGATTTTATACACTTACCCAAACACTTACATATTGTGATATTAAATACAGATAGGTGCATATTCTGAGCCAACTTAGATGACAGTTGCTGCTTTTTATTCTCTTGTGTGATCATATCGCCAGTAACATCGGAAAACAAGTGTGTTCACGGTAAAACTGTCAGGTCATGGCTGCAACAGAGCCGATGTCTCCCAAAAGTTTTAGAGTCAACACAAACCTTTCTCTCTCTTTTTTCTTCACCATGCTTCAAACAGCCGCCTCAAAAAAAGAGCCACTAGATCAAGTGAGTGAGCCTTCAGAAAGTATCGGCCTAGTTTCAACAGCTGGAAGGATTTGTCTGAATAAAGACAACGGAGGAAGGAAAAGACAACCGGCACGAACAGTGTGTTGTATCATTTCACCAGCCGAAGCTGCACTACCTAACTACACTGTGATGGACACAAAACAAAGTCACATAGTACTGAGCGGCTTGTATCTATTAAAGGTAAATACACAACACCTTCCTGTCTATGCAGCAGGGTTTGCTTAGGTCAAAGAAGCAGAAGCTAGAAGCAGGTACAGTAGGAGTTCCATGGGGTCTACAATCCTCCATCCAGACTAACCCTCCACATAATGACTGCATCCACCAATTTAAAATAGCCCTTATATACTGTGCGATTCCAACTCTTTTCTGTGGACAATTTCATTTCCAAACAATCTGGCCTAAATAAATAAATGAATAAATAAATAAATAAATAAATAAATAAAAACACAATTTCTACAACTCTGAATGAATCCTGGAACCCTGTATGTCTCCAGACATTTTCACAACGAGCATGTTTGGAGCAATGTATTTAAACTCTGCAGCACTCCCTCCTTTGTTGAGTTGAGTTTCTTTGAACAAGTGCAATGTCATTTGAACTTGGGTGGCACCGATTAACTGCAGTGAGAGACCTGAAATTGCAGGTCGTAGCCCCACTTATAAGAGAACTTTGATGCAGTCCTTCTAGAGTGAGAAAGCAATCCAAAGCAACTACAGAAAATAAGGTTTCAGGGAAAGACCTTTCTGCACAAAGCAGTCTGAACAGATATATGTGAATATATCTTCATGGAATCTCAGCTGTTATGGCCACCAGAGAAGGGGAGTCATGATGTCATCCGAAGCAAAGGTGACAGGGACTGGAATCAGATTCAACTTCTCCAACATGTCTGCTCTGGGGTAGTGTCTCATATGAATTGGAATGTGTGGAGCAGAATAAGCAGAATTAAAGTGATCAATCACATCTCTGAATCAAAGTCGTGTTTGAAACAAGGTGAAGGGAACAAGAGAAAAGAAAAGACAGCATGAACTCTGAGACACTGGGGACAGTGGGGGGGTGGGGGGTGGGGGGTGGGGGAGTGGCAGCAGCCGTTCACATTGAGCTCAACATATCCCACACACAAACACTTTCATACACATATGAGTGCACAACCTTCAGATACATACAACCCTGAAACGGCTGATTGGTCTGCAGCTTGTCTGTCTACGCTCTATTCCCGTGTATGTCTGCATCTATGGAGGTTTTTTCTTTACTAATACCAATCTGGGTGGAAGCAGGCCAGGAGTAACCTAGAAACAAGATACTCTCCAAGCAAATGTTAATTCTTTATCAATATCTGAGGGTGGAAACAGGCAAATATCCATGTGATCCTTCATGGTTAAACTGCATTAAACATATTAAAAGACGATGACATTGAGTCTGAGCGTTGATACATGACCACTGATTAGTGTCAGCACTGTCACTGAATGGTAAGCCTTCACTACGAGCCAGTGTGCTCAGGATGTAGATCCAGTAATTACAGAGATTAGCCTGTTGTTAGTCAGATGGGTGAGGCTGAGCAAAGGCCATTAAGCGTGTGTCTGACTGTGTGTGAAGCTGTGATCACTGGAAGTGACATGTTACCTGGCTATGACAAACAGCACACAACTGACACCCAAGTAAGCCAGCAGAATATACATCCAGATATCAGGCGAGAGGGGGTTGAGGAAGGAGAAGACCCCAGGGTTGGTCCCGTTGGGCTTGCGGTACAGTATACTTATACCCAGCGTCATGAAGGGCTTGGAGAAGTCAATAACCTTCTCGCGCACGTATGTGATGGCGAGGGGAGCCACTGCCAGATCAGCTCTCTGTCAACATGAAACATAAAAGGAAAGAAGGATAGGCCATAAGTCAGGAGAAGAGGAAGCATTTAGAGGCAATCAAATTAAGAAAACAGGATCTTTACACACTACAGAGTCTGTCCTGAGGCACTTAGCAAAAAATTTAAAGCCCTCTTTCTCTCTGCACCCATCAAGTACACTCTTAATACTAAACTCCCCTTTTTCTCTCTGGAGCCTAAATCACAGCATCCATTTATTTTCTTTAGCTGCTTTCTCCATTTGTTAGGATGGCTGTGAGCTGTAGGCTCGCACTCTATGTGGAGAGTGATGGGAGTTATGGAGACATGCAGGACCAACACAAAAAGAACATACCTTTACTGTACTAATCGACCTGATCTACAGTTTCTGGACTATAAGAGGGAATGAACAATGTGACTACAATTCATTTTGGTTTCTTTCTATGATCTAGCTTTTGATTATTAGGACAAAGTCTGGGCCACGATATTCTTCATTATGTGTATTATGTGAAACAGTCACTGATTGTAAAAGGCCTAACATGATGCTTTGGCATTCAATGGTGCAATGGCGTAGCATACTCTCAGTGATATAGCGACAACATCATCTACATCATCATGTACCGTGACTTCTGCAGCTGGTGTGTTTCCCTTTAATCATCCACGGTACAATGACTCAGTGTGCTTTTAGTGATACAGTGAATCCCGGTGAGACTGGAAATAGCTAATGTATCAATAATTAATGAACTAATAACTCATTTGACAACCTGGAGATACTTCTGAAATCGACACTGTAGGTGGTCAATAAGCATGCATATAGTATCAGACCAGCTTCACGAGACCAGGATTTGTGTTTTTTCTTAATGCTTGAACTTTTATTGTTTTTGTTTTTTTTGAAATAGAAAAAATGAGATGGTGCTTTTTACTTAAATACTGATGCAGATACTTATATAAGAGAAAAGATGGGTATTTTGTGAACAATGTCCATTATGACCTTCCACAATTGTTGCTCCTCATTATAAACTTCGGAGAGGTTAGACGCAGCTCCCTCCATGGAGATTGTCTCTAGGAAAGTTTGAAGCCACAGTCCCTCTTTCAGTTGATCTGTGTTCTTCTAATTTGTTGCTTCTTTTAGCTGTCATGCATCCAGTTGTTAAAATTTGTTTGTTGTGTTTGGACGATGTTCCTTCACCAGCGTAATTCAGAAGGCACATTGCAGGATCTTTCCCAGGGATTGTGTAACATTTTCCCAGAAGGTCTTAACGTTAACACAAGCCCACACCATATGGTAAAAACTACCTTTATCTTGTTTGCAATGCCAACAATGAATCAACAGAATCAGACACATCCATCTTATGTAATCAAGCAGGAGTAAAATATGTTCTGTGCACAAAATTATAATTTATCATTTTATTTTTCATTGATTTAGATGCTTTGTTGTGTTTTCCATACATGATCCCATTCTTCACTTTCAAAGGATATCCTTAAGTTGGTTTCCCAACTTCTTTGAATTGCATTCCAATTTTCTCCTGATGTTTTGTTCAATTTATATAATTTCAATGCAATTTGAAATCCTTCTGTTTAACCATTAATTCTAGCTTGGACTCAGTATCCGTCAACTTGGGTATGACTACAGCTCTCCCTAGATATTATGTCAGTTGTGATCTTATTTGCCTATATTTTAAAAAGTCTTTCTTTTCAACACCATATGTAGCTGAGTAAAGGTTTTCAATTTTTTGTCATGTTGGTTTCTAAAGTTCTAATAACTCTGGATTCCCAGTCATCATTTCTGATTGGCCTACCATTCAACATAAATCTATAGGTGTTCCATAATGGAACACTGGGAGAGTTAAGGGTTATCAGTATTCTTACATAAGGGACCATACCACATCCCTTGCAATGTGACCTTGTCTTTTAACATGTCTAAAGCTTCCTGTTCCATATTTTCCCATCTTATATCTTTTGAATTAAAGCCATAACCCCATTTCAAAGGATATCTAGAGTTAAATGCGATATAGTACTTATACACATTTGGAAGGCCTAGACCTCCCTTTTCCCTGTCCACATATGAGTTTTTGCGACTAACCCTCTGAGTTTTGTTGTTCCATATGAATTCTCTGAATATTGTGTCAACCTCTTTGAGTTTTCATTATCCAAAGGAAGGGGAATAGCTGCCATGAGGAAAGTAACACAATCATCTTTAAACTGTCTATTATATCCCAAATAGTTAGAGGGAGAAATTTCCACCTATTAATATCATTTTTGATATTATTTATGAGCTTTTTCAAATTAAATGGGGCAATATCATATTAGACTTCAGAGTTACGCAGAGATATCGCATCCCATCAGGGGACCGTTTAAATGGCAAATTAGCAATATGTACTTTATGGCAGCAAGCATTTAAAGGTAAAGTCTCAGATTTACCCCAATTAATTTTATATCCTGATATAGCTCTAAACTCCCTCACAGTCTCAAGAGTATGTTTAAGAAATGTGGGAGGATCTGATAATGTGAGGAGGATATCATCTGCAAAAAGGCTTATTTTCATCTCTGTTACTGGAGCTGCAATTCCTTTAATATTGTGGTTTTCTCTAATCAGTATGGCCAAAGGTTCTAATGACAAAACAAAGAGCAAAGGACTCAAAGGGCACCCCTGAGGTGTCCCTCGTCTAAATTCAAATGGATCAGAGATTATGCTATTTGTCGTTATTCTGGCTTTAGGAGTTGAATATATTGATGAAATGTAATTATCTGTTGTATTGGCATAATGCATTGACCAGGGTTTTGTCTTTGAGTTAGGGTTAAGGTTAGGGAGTGCCTGTCATCCTTTCCCACTAAAAGAAATGACTCAGTGCCTTGAAGAACCTCGTGAGGTTTGGTAGTACGTTTTTTGTTGCATTTCCACTGTATTTTACAAACCAGGACATGTTGGATAAAAGCCATAAAAAGACAAAAGTCAGTCCAACTACATAATTTTTTTTGTACTGTGGTGGTTATGTTTCAGGCAGCAATGTAAGAAGTGGTGCTATTATTGTTATTGATTTTCTTTCACATTTACATAAAAATGAAATACACTTACATATGCCAAGGCAGGGCTCAGCTGAGGCCTGCTGGTCAGCAGCTCTGAATCAAATTCACTGCCTCAACCACTTAGTAGTCTTTCAGTTTTAATTTTTACCACTGATTCCTCTCCCTCTGAGCGCCCTCCACTCCACAAACACATGCGATCTCAGTTTTTTCAACAGACATTCTTCAAAGAAAACTAGACAAACTTCCTCTATTTTTGTCTCTTTCTTACAATATTATGATATTCCTTTTTTTTATAATTTGTGTTGGTTGATACATATGCGGTATCAAAATGTTTGTTATTGTTGTGTTTTTCTGTAGCCATCCTTGTTGTGATGTAACAGATAATAGCTGATAATACCCGGAGCTCCAAACCAGGTCAAGAACAGTGGAAATGAAGGATGAACTGACTGAGCTCAGTGCTCACATCTGTGAACACAACCCTACAAAGTGTAGATACATTGGGATGTGTTTACTCCACTTTGAGCATTAGACAGACCAAAGACCATTTTATTAAACTCCTTTGACAGGATGTTTCCAATTTGTTCAGCACTATTCAGCATTTCCTCCTCAACTGAACTTCTTCTGTGAGTCCACACTCCCCAGTCTCCTGAGGCCCTGTCTACTGCAATAACCATCTGTCTAAGTCAAGCCTGTCTAAGCAATAAGTGGGACAAAACCATGCTGAACATCATTTCGCAGGGGATTGGGCCCTTCACCCATGAAAAGACTGTCACGACAGCCAATCACTGCACTAGTCAAGAGCAGACGCAGAAGACATGTCTCGAGGAGTTAAGGGAGACTTGACCCTTCGTGGGTGCTGCTTCTAATGGGGTCAGATATTGACTATTGGGCGTGCAGCTGCTGCTATTTTTCTGCCCATGCAGTTTATCCTAACGGGGACTTTGTCGGGTGTAATGATCTACACTGTGAGCAGATTGTGTGTGCTTGTGTGTGTTTTAATAAGCTCTGTAGGGGAATCAACTCATGACAGAATCTATGCTCTGCTCGCATCACTGTACTTTCATACAGTGCTAGTTGTTACTCCCTGCTCTTCTTTCTTTTTCATATCCTTTACCTCCTTATTCCATATTCTTTTTCATTTCATTCATTTTAATTTTCAAACAATGGTATTAGATGCTGATATGGCAAATTATATTTGGTTTAAACAAGTCATGATGCTAGCATCATGAAAGCAGATTTAGTTCTTTAGTTCTGGTAAATAGTAATTGCTTCAGTACTACAACAAACTGACCTGACAAACAAATCTGATGAAGTGGACAGAACAATGGCATTTTGTTTGCTTTCAGTCTTTTGTGGCAGAAAGGTTTGGATATGGTATAGACAGGATGTGACTCTCTCTCAAGATAATACAAACCTTAAATGCAGTTTTTAACTAATAATAACAGACAGCAAACAACACGTTTCTTTTAACCCAAAACACTTGGTTTCGCCATCACTTTGACATGATGGCTGCTTTTTATGTTTATTATTTTATTCAACAGTGTTTGCTCACAAAGCTGTATATGTTATTTCAGCTCAAATTTTATTTTCATTGGTAATTACTGTACACCTCAAGCTAATTGCTGAGATCTTGAAAGAAAAAGTCTGCTGGGTTTGCCAGGTTGTAAACAAACCCCTATGTTACCTTCAGTTTAGAGACCAACTTCCTGCATCAACTTTTTGCACTAGTGTAGGTGCAGGTGGGTTTTTAATGCTGACCTTTTGGAGGATACTTCATTTTCTCACGTTTACATGTGGACATACTACATCAAATCTGTCTACAGTTAGTGTGTAAAAGGGAATTGGGGCACAGCTACAGTTTTCCTGTGCAGTGATGGGTTGGTTACACTGACATTTTCAGGTATGCTTTAGATAGTCTGGATAAACCTGTGTTTACAATTTGATCATCTGACTTTTGTTTCTTTCTGTCTCTTTCTTCATTGTTGGGATGTTGCCGTGTTCCCAATGTACTGTTGAACCCATGTTGTATAAACTGGGATGATGCTTTCAGAAAAGGTGTAAGTTGCCTGTTTGCTGGGTACATTCATGCACCATCTTTAATAATGATGTTCAGAGACTCACGTGGTCCATTAGCTCCTTGACCATCCCATTCCACTGGCCTGTGTTCTCATCCTGGGCACCGTATTTCCCATCTTCCACCAGACGAACCTCATAAGTGAAGCCCAGGATGTTGGCCAGCTCTCTCAGCAGGTCTATGCAGTAGCCCTCAAAGCGGTCGTTCCCGTACAGTGGCTTGTCAGACTTCTTGAACATCACATATGGTTCCTCCTGTTGGGTGAAATAGAGGAGGAGGGATGAGTCTCTGCAGCACTTGGCATCTTTTACCTTCTGATAAGGCCTATCTGAAAGGGTGTCTGATGTGTGAGATAGGCTTTTGAGCTGTGCGAGCTCAAACACACACTGGCTTGGTTGGTAAAGCGTGCGTAAAGCCCCTGTGTTTGTGTGTGCATGTGGTTGCCTGCAGTCCCAGTCCTGTGATGTGAGGTAGGGTGGGTGCAAAGTGAGGCATGACCATAATAAGAGATAATCCCCCATATCAATGACTCTGTGCTCCTCTTAGGCTCAGCAGGCTGGCCTTGTGCCCAGGCGCAGCTTACAGGACACCACATGCTTTGTCAATAGGATAGAGATAGTGATAGACGGACACAAAAAGAGAGTGCAAGAACCAGCACATCCCCTCTGTTAACACAAACTGGGGAGATTACTAATGTCTTCTTTATATTTTCCCTTCTCCCTCGCGCCTGGTGAGCATCTCCTCTGCCATGTCCTTCTCTCCATAATTCTCTTCGTGTTACCACCTCCTCCTGCTTCCTCCCCTCTGTACCCTGCTTCATGCACCATCTGTCTAAGACTTCTGACGCTTGTTCTCACCACACAGCCACCATTTCTACAACTCCTTTGTCTCTCAGAAAAATAAATTCAAAAATATGTAATCAAACAGATGTTCTTTATCATATAACTGTATCATTAAAGATTGTTAACAGCTGGACTGGATGCAGGTTTAATATTGTGCAGGTATGAGATGTTTGCCTGAGAGGAAAAAGAAAACAAGAACAGTTTGCTCTTTTCTCTTATATTAGCGGCAAGCCAAACAAACAAGTTCTTTTGCAGTAGACAAATGTTGAGGGTAATGATTTCACTGCATAGTAGTGTGTGTATAGAAACAGCGTGACAGCTTTCTTCATACATTCAATTTAAAGATAAATACAAAACCATATCTTTGTGACACCTTCTGTTTACTTTTAATCTATAATCTATTATTAATCAGTAATACTTTTATGTAATTAAAACTGAATTAAACAAGAATTACTGCCTCATGGTTGTCTGCCTCCTCCACTCAAACTTGTTTGAGTTTGGGTCCCTGTTTATCCAGAGTCATATAAAATATGAACCATTTGTGTGAAACTTGACCTTTGACCTTTGACCACCAAAATCTAATCAGTTCGTCCTTGAGTCCTAGTGAACGTTCGTTCTGTATTTGAAGAAGTTCCTTCAAGGCGTCCATGAGATATCATTTTATGACACAACATGATATCTCAGTAACGTACGTAACGTACATACGGACAGACGGATGGATGGACAACCTGAAAACAATATACCACCGGCTCTGGCTGTCACAGGCATTGAGACATAAAAACAGAACTTGTACATACAGTATCACATCTGAAATATCCAAAGTATTTAGAATGTTATATTAAATTTGAAATATGTTAATGGGACATATCCAAAACCCACAAATGCAGTTATATTATGGATGTGGTCAGTATTACCCACAGGACCCTCAAAGAATATATGACAAACTACCTGAATGCAGTAAAAGATGCAAGATCAGCATATTTTTCTGACATAATATCCAAAAGCTATCACAACCCCAGAGTCTTATTTAATATAATCAATTCTGTCTCCAATGGCCCATCAAGTACAGAACTTGCACCTGAAGATGACTGGACATCCGGTCCCAAATGTCACCTGATCCCCAAATTCTTCCCACCTCCGACAAGAATGTTGCCTCACTTTCCCAGTTCCTAACCATTAACGTCACAGCATTAGATAAATTAATTTCTCAAATTAAATCCTCTACCTTTGGTGTTGATCTTATCCCAACTAAGTTTTTTAAGAGATATTCCCCTCTGTTGGTCATTTTATTCTTTTAACAGTTCCTTTAACTCTGGGAATTTTCCCACTTGCTTCAAACATGCTATCATTCAACCCCTCAAAGTTATTTCAACTCAACTACCATCATTTATGACTAGTAATGACATTTTTAATAGTTTTCAGTTAGGTTTTAGATCTTGCCATAGCACAGAGACAGCCCTCGTGAAGGTTTTAAATGATCTACTTTTAACAGCTGATAGAGGTGACTGCTCAGTTCTGGTACTTCTGGATTTAAGCTATGCCTTTGACAAAATTGATCATTCCATTCTCTTGCATCCTCTAGAAACCTGGGTTGGCCTTAAGGGAACTGCTCTGAATCTACTACGTTCGTACCTCTCCAATAGAACCTTCTCTGTTGTCATAGCAACTGCCTCTTCCTCTGCTGCCCATTCTAACTGTGGTGTTCCTCAAGGTTCTGTCCTCGGCCCACTACTATTCTCAACATACATGCTTCCTCTCAGTTCAGCTTCAAACCAATAACCCCAGCAGCCTTGATAATCTGTTTCCCTGTCTCAGTGATATTAAATGTTGGCTGTCCCAAAACTTCTTAAAATTCAATACTGATAATTCTGAAGTCAAAATACCTGGTCCCACAAATTCTGCCTCTGCCAGCCTCTTTCACAGTAAGCTTATTTTTGATGCAAATCTCAGTTTTGATGCACAAGTGAAAAATGTTGTCCAGTCATGTTTTTTTAAACTGAAAACCACTGATTTAAACAAGGTCATGCACTTTTATTTTTTCGCACCTTGACTATTGCAATGCACTTTATGCTGCATCAGTCAGAGTTCCCTCCACTGACTACTACTAGTAGAGGACGCTGCTGCACGGATGATAACTGGCACTAAGCGATATGAACACATAACTCCAATACTTAAAAACTAACACTGGCTGTCTGTTACATTCCGGATTGATTTTAAAATTCGACTCATCATCTTTAAAGCACTAAATGGCCTCACTCTAAATTATATAAAGGACTTATTAACCCCATATGTGTCTAGGTGTCTACTTGGATTGGTGGAGAGAGCTCTGCTGGTTATTCCAGGTCTCGGTTGGTGACTAAAGGTGAACGGGCCTTTGCTGTTTGTTGTGTTCTTTTTTTTGTTTTTTGTGTGTCATTTTTAATTGGTTTTTTTAATTGTTTTTAATTCCCCTTTTTTCTTTCTGTAAAGCATTTTGTAAAGAAAAGTGCTATATAAATACAGTTTATCATTATTATTATTATTATTATTATTATTATTATTATTATATTGCCTACTATCCTCTTAAGTGGTATTCCCAATGACAAATTTTTCATTAACATGGCGTTGTCACAACCGTCCCCAGGCCTTAGTGTTTTATGTCTGTCTTGTCATTTCCTGTTTTATTTTGGTAGTTTCCCTCTTGTGTCTTTTCTTCCTCCTGGGTGATTACCGGCTTTTTCCCTGATGTGTCACTTGTGTCTCGTTATCCCCACAGTATTTATGCCCGGTGTGTCCCTTTTCACTTTGCCAGTTTGTTTTCTTCCCTAGTGAGTGACTTACCAGCGTTTTCCTGATTGCTACTTTGAGAGAGACCTTTTTTGTGACCTGTTTCCCAAGACCTGCCTGTTCCCTGTCGGTACCTTTGCCTTGTCCTGCCTGCCTGTGTTTTGACCCTGCCCGCCTGACCACGTCTCTGCTTTTTCCCTCTGGATTCATCGCCTGTCTCCATTGGGCTTGCCAGTCTGTTTTTGGAACGCTGTCGTTTTTTTTTTTTTAATTGAACAACAAACTGCCTGATTGTCAACTGCCTCTCGGATCGTGCTTTTGGGTTCTACCTTTGTGTCCTGAGCCTGACAGGCGTTAAGACAGAGCCAAGGGGTTTATAGCAATGATGCTGCTGAAATAAAGCCCAGAAAGACTGACTGACTTGTGGAGTGCATTGTTTTTAGAAATATGACTCATGATATACAGTCTCTAGAAGTGTATGTGTAGTGTTAATTAAACAAAAATGGCAATAAATCAAAGTATCAAATCACAGTACTCATAGAATTGCATTAGATAGTGAATCGGCACTCAAGTATCATGATAGAATGGAATAAGGAGAAAAGCATCTTGTCCCGGCCCTATTTCATATATTTATATTTCTCAACCCAAGAAGATTACTTATAAAATCATAGACACAAGTGATCAACACAGAGGTTGTCCTGTGGTAGACAAGACGATCTTCGTTATATCAAGACTCAAATTACTGCCTCGCAGTTTATGCGTCCACTAACTGTAGATAACGGTTTATTCTTCATTCATGGTGCAAACTACAGGTATTATTAGTATCACTGGCAATTGCTATCATCATTACCTGTAATTTATAAAAATGTAAATCACTACCATTGCTGCCTTCCATCTAAAATAGGATAGAATTAACAGCTTTAGCCTCACTTTAACCACACCGCAAACATGAATTTTATCACTGCTGATGCAGCTCTGTACATAATATAACTACAGTAGCTCGTATGCTTCTACATGGTACCTCAGCAGCTGCAGGACTGCAAGGATACTGATGTAATCTTGATGAAAGACCAGAAAGTGCCGTCCACATACAGATCAATACCAGAGCATCTCCAATGTCAAGACATACACTACAAACACCAAAACAAACTAGTACAGTTGTATGCAAAAGTTTGGACACCCCAAGAAAATAAGGGAAAATAAGTAAATACACCCAACCTCTTGTAAAACACTCAGAACTTTATTAATTTGTCAGGTCTTGACTTATTAGGACAGGGCTGTCAGCTGATGACATTTCCAGAGCACATCAATTCTCTGACTCTTCAAACCTTGAGGTAACACTCAACAGCCATTGGCTCCTCTAAGTAACTGAATGAGGATCTGAAAATGAAGCTGCTTGATGGTTACAAAGAATGGGAAGCTATATAGAATATCAAAGAGCTTCCAGCTTGAAATTTCCACTGTCCAAAGTGTCAGTGAGAAATGGCAGTTAATGACAACAGTGACAGACAAACAACCTCTCAGAGACCAAGACTAGACTTGTATGTCTCCACCAAGCAACCATGTTCCAGGTAATGTGACCTATGATCTCCCCTTCCTTAGTTACATATAACTACATATATAACGTATATAATGGCCAGAAGTGT